GTGGTGATGGTTGGATGGTGTTGTGGTGATGGGTGGATGGTGTTGTGGTGATGGGTGGATGGTGTTGTGGTGATGGGTGGATGGTGTTGTGGTGATGGGTGGATGGTGTTGTGGTGATGGGTGGATGGTGTTGTGATGATGGGTGGATGGTGTTGTGATGATGGGTGGATGGTGTTGTGATGATGGGTGGATGATGTTGTGATGATGGGTGGATGGTGATGTGGTGATGGGTGGATGGTGTTGTGGTGATGGGTGGATGGTGCTGTGGTAGCAGTATGGACAAAGAGGACCAGTTAAATGTATGTCCAAGTTCAAGGTATAATTTTTCGCATTTAAAATGATTTGTTTTTTTTTAAATTTTGTGTGTGGACTGAATTACAAATGGAGAGGTAAGAATTTCTTAAAGGGTTGGTTGAGAGAGAGCGTGCATAGACTTGTTGTGAGAATGCATCGTAATACGAACATTTTACTATCGAAATTTGGTTAACCTGTGTTTGGACAGCCGACATCTTTCATTGACACATATTATATTTTGATATAATAACACTCAATAAGTTTTAAATCTAAATCTTAAATATATTTCTTATAAAATTATTTACTTTATTTCCAGGTGCCCCCAAAGTAAAGAACGTCCCAGACAAAATACCAAGCATTCAAGTTTCACCCAATCAAAACACAGTGTTTACACTTGAAGTATACGGATATCCCGAACCAACTGATTTTGGGTTAAAAATAGAAACTGGACGATCCACTTCCGCTGTCAACAAAGACAACTATTCAGTCAAATATTTACCACTCATACCTCCGTTTGGGTTAGTGACCTTGACCATCTATGACGCCAACACCAAAGGTACAACTACCTACATACTCAGTGTCAGAAGTGAGGCTGGCGAAGTTGAAATGAAGTTGGAAGTTGTCAAATATGAACAACCGAACATAGAAGGTAAATTATTTACTTTTTCTTTGAAAAATTATATTTTATGCTTTTTACATTTGTTTTAGCAATTATTATTAATAACTAGTAAAATTTATCATTTTAAAATACCATTTTAAACGATTCATTGTTATTTTAGGAGCGTGATAATGTAAATGCTAATGAAAATCTAAGAATTCTCTTTGAGATCAGATGTTCCTCCTCCTACAGACCTTTGACCGAAATCTCCAATCAACTTTTATTTACATCCTTGAATGCATGCACTATTGAGTAACAAATGATTTTATTTAGACATGCCACACACATACGGCCTGTGGACCACATTCGACCGCCAAGGCCACTTGCGTCCCGCGAAGTAGTGAAATATTATTTATTATTATTATTTTTTTAACAGCTTCCCCCCCCCCTCCCCTTTCTTATTTTATTTCGGCTCGCACAAGTCTAATGGCTTGCCTTACATTTTAAGTTGTGCCGGCCTGATCTTAGATTTTAAATGTTTCGACATATTTTCCATCAGAAACTTTATTGTAGTACAAACATTACTCAACTCTACACGTGTGTATTCTTGTATAGCAAAAGAAGAAGGAAATAAAGCTCTCACCATAGGCGTTAGTGTCGTGTGTGGTGTTCTTGCACTGTGTACAATCACCGCTGTTGCTGTCCACCTAAGAAGGCGAAATGAATCCATTAGTGAAAAACAAAACCCTCACCAAAGTTACATAGGGCAGAATTTGAAATCATCACCCCCTAGCTGGACATCTGCTAGTAAGATTTGTAATAGTTACGATTGTAAATTTTTACACATGACTGCTTCATTCGTTTACTAAAGTTCGGATTAAACAAACAAGCAAATAAAAACACAAATACTCCTATTAACAAAATCATACATACAACATATTTTGATTCTACAAATGGTTAAATGACCTTTTAAAGCTAAAAGATATTGACATTAAAAAAAATAGTTCATTGAAATCATTGAAAGCAATTTAAAAAAAAAAAAAATTTAACTGAAGTTTAATAAAAACCGTAACTCATCTTTCCATCTCATAAACATCTCAAAGTAATTCTTTATTACATTTCAGGCCAGTCCATCCAAGCAGTACCTGCGTTTAATAACTACGCCTTCGACTATCCTCAAACAAAAAAGTCTGACACAGAATCGAAACACATTAATTATTTTTACGTCGATCGCAAAAGATATACTTATCCCGAGGAACCACCACCAGATTATCCAATGGATTAGGAAAATTAATTTAAATAATGTATACTCAAAATTTGATTTGACTTTCAAAAATTCATTACGTGATTTGGCCTATTATAAAGAGAATCAATTGCTGCGAGATGTCATTTATACTTCTACCATATTTTAGAAGAAATACATAATAACCTCGTTTTTAATTTTTTAGCAAATTATAATGAGTATTTCTTTTATTTTACTGTCGCCTGTGCATTTTGTATGAATGATTGTTTTTCAAAAAAAAAAAAATGATTTTTGTTCAAGAAATGTACATTCAACTTTTTTCAGCTCCTTAATCATAAATCGTATTTGTTCATTATCGATATTTTCATAACAATTCAAGTTTTTCTTAAATTTGCACGGTGATATTTTTATCAATATTTTAGTTTCCCTCAGTTACGATTATAGCCACGTTTAGTATATGCATCAAGACAAAACATTGACATCCTTAGTGCTTCAAATAACAAAATGAGACGACATTGGCTCGTAATTATTATTTGCTAATAGCTATTTCTTTTTGATTTGTTTCGATTAATTAGACACGAAGAACTGGTGTCAATATAACAATATATGTAAAGCGTTTATAATAATTTTACATAATACACAAATGGACGTTTCGACACATGTCTTCATTAGTATAAAAACAAAACATTTAAATACGTATAAATTAAATTTACATACTATTATATATATATATACACAAATATCCTACCTAAAAAAAAAAAAAGAAAAAGAAAAGAGGGGGCAAAATCCAGTAGTAAAACAAAGAAAAGAAAAAAGAAAAGGAAAGGGATAGGAAGGAAAATTAAAAAAAAAAAAAAAGCCCAAAAAATATAAAAAAAAAACATTTAAAAACGTAAAAAATAAATTTACATACAATTATAAATATATATACACAAATAACCAACCGAAAAAAAAAAAAAGAAAAAGAAAAGTGGGTGCAAAATCCAGTAGTAAAACAAAGTAAAGAAGAATGAAAAGGAAGGGGATTGGAAGGAAAATTAAAAAAAAAAAAAACATGCCCAAAAAATATACGGCAGTTACTTAAAGTTGTGGATTTGGTTTATAATTTATTTTTTAATTTATTAAATTTTGTTCTTAACTTATTCTCCATATAGATCCTATCCGGTGTTTTATAGTATACAGTATACTTTTTTGGAGGGAAATGGAACTCTTTAGTATTTATGTAATTAAACTAACTATATCATGCAATGTATATGATCAATGCTAAATACAATATGTCATTAGTTATTCCAAATTTGATTTGTGGTTATTTAATTTTGTTCAAACCTTGGTTTTAAAAAAAACAATTAAAACTATTTTTGTTAACACTTTGAGCTTATCACTTTTTTTTTTTAATTTCGTCTGTCAAACATAACACATTAATACAATGGAAAATGCAATTTTTATATTAAATCTTAAATATGTATAATATTTTTACATTGTAGAATGTGATTGTTTTCCACAGTATTACAAATTAAAATTTTAAATAAATACATAAATATTATGGTAGCTTTGCCTTAAATACCCAAGTATTAATATAAATATATTTGTTTGTTCAACATTAACAAATATAATTTTATAACTTAAGCATCATTTAGCGTAAGGTATATAACTTTGATAGCACCAATGAGATAAGACCCATCAATCATGTTCAACGCAGACTTTTCCTCTTGAAAATAGTGATAGAAAAGGAAATAAAAAATCTGCCAGGCCGCCGGCTTGTACAGTGCAGCATTGTAGAACAAATCCACCACCTGGAATATATTTGATACACACAAAGCAAAGAATAGCAACGCAATGAAAGATTTCATCCTCGAGTGTATCGAATGGAGCAGCCGAGAATCGGATGAAATAAGCGGAGAACTTTTCCAAACCCAACAGACGGTAACACGGATTATTCCAGCTGCACGTCAAATATTCTCGGTTTTAAATTTTTGTATTCGAACTATTGATAAAGATGTTGATAAATATTTAAATAGCTACTAACGACTGAATCGTAATCAACCATAACGTAATCTTAGAATCATGCAATTTACCATGAAATAAATAAGGATTGTTTAAAAGTATTGTTCCATCATTCAGACTTGTAAATCTCAAGCATGTGGAGAGCACTCTCCAATAACCGTTGGACAGCAATTAATTCACCATTTAATATTTTATTATATACTAGCAATTATACTCGTCTTCGCTGGGGTTTGTTTACGGAAATATCTCATAAAGTATTATTGGCAAAAACTTGGTAAAAAAATCACTTCCATAAAGTAAAGATTAAAATGGATAAAAGGCAAGATTTATAATAAATACTGTAAACATGAAATATTCTCCATACCTGAACGCAATGCTGGTTGGTTGACAGGCATTATGGCCAGGTTTAAAAACCAATTAATGTTTCTATTGTGCTATACTCTAGCTGATTGGGGTTGCACCGACCATATTTGAATGATTTCCGTGGTCCCGAATGTGGTGCCTTTTCATTCTCCTAGCAGCCTGCCTTAAAATCTGATTGTTTTTTAGGGTACCATGTTTCTACCGTGCCACCACCGTGGTATCCTGCCTTAAAATCTGATTGTTTTTTAGGGTACCATGTTTCTACCGTGCCACCACCGTGGTATCCTGCCTTACAATCTGATTGTTTTTTAGGGTACCATGTTTGTACCGTGCCACCACCACCGTGGTATTATCGGATGTACCATGTTTCTACCGTGCCACCACCACCGTGGTATTATCGGATGTCAGCAATACAAGTGAGACATAGACATAAAATGCACACACTCAGATTTCGACCAAATGTTGTTTTGAGCTCAATCTCAAGCTTAGGATTCTCTCTTCCCAACACACGCATTTCATTCAGTTGGCAATAAAAATTATTTTCAAAAAAAGACCACCGAGTATTTTAGCCCTTGGTGACACAAAATGAGTTTATACATGGCACTGAACTATGGGATATTTGTAACAATGTGCATCCCTCTCCATATAAAATGCAATGAACAATCTTTTGTTAAAATTGTGTATCATATGTTTGTTGTTCAGTTCATTGAATGAATAAAGATTTAAAGACGAAATCTAACTTTTAGAAGTTGACTAATGTAAAAAAAAGTATAAACCAATGACACAGCTATGTCACTTTATACCATGAAATTAAATAGGAATCTCATTCAAAGGAGGCCATTTTAGCTATCCATGAGATAGGGGAACTAAACAAAGCATTCAGATAAATATTCAAATTAATTTTACTAAAGGCTTCATATTGAAATGGGAAGCCCTTTGCAAAGAATCATGCCTTTCAAAAAAAAAATAACTTTTTGGGATAACAGCGCAAAAAAAAAAAATGTTAATTTTTTTTTTACAGCATTAAGTGTTTTAGGTTTGGGGAAAAAATTGTCTTAAAAATTGTCCCATAAAAATTCGTTGAAAAAGGATAAAATCGATGTGGATATTATTCTTTTGAGATCCACAGTTATTTTAAATCGGATAATAAAACACGTGTTTACCAAGTTTGGCCTAGATGCATCAATGTATGTATATGCTAGTATTGGAACACATATCTTTTTGTACAGCTGTAGCCTAGATGCTTCAATGTATGAATATGCTAGCATTGGAAGCTAAGTCATTTAGTACAGCTTTGGCTATTAAGATAAGATAAGACAAACTTCTTTTCTTGATCCAAATAAATGGGAAATTTTTTATTGCATTGCACATATACATTTTCAGCACATGAGTAAATATATAATTTAATAAAGTAAACATTATCCAACTAAAACAATTTAAACACAAGACATCTAAATTAAATTATTGCTGCAGCGTAACAAAACAGCCACTCAGTAGACTCCCTTAGTCATAATAAGGGACTTACTTAGTGATCATTTAGATTTTGTGATCTCTGGGGGAGCACGTTGGTAAATTCGTACAGACTGGGGAAGAAACGAATTTCATATCATTCCGTCCTCACCTTAGAGAAAGAATTTGTCCCAAACGGCCCAATCTTAAGATTTGGTCCCAAACGGCCCAATCTTAAGATTTTACATCACTAAGCCCTTTTTTCTAACGTTGTCTTCCTCACATAACTCAATGTAAAAAAAATAAATAGTTTGATCTAAGAAAAAAAATGAATGAACCTATTGAATGTAGAACATTGTACAATTCATGTATGCCTATTATTACCTCTCAGCGCTGGTATTTAAAACGAAAAGATAAATAAACACGTAATGAATAACGTCCCGTTTATGAAACAAATACGTTAATATTCGAACAGCAGAAACGGATGACAAGGATAAAGAATAGATAACTAAAACACGCACTCAAATAAAAACCCATATAAAATACTTTTTTAAATCTGAGTATCAAACATTCCAAGAACAAATCTCTAAGTAAATCATATGTGTGGTAAACAATTTGTAGACAATTTACAGGCTAAGAAAACCTAAAGGAACACATTATTTTTTTTTTAAATGGCATTACATATTTTGTTATTAGTATCGTTGATAAAAAAGTTTTGGAAAGCTATGTAGGATAAATAGAAACACATATTTTACATTAAAAAAACGAGTTGGCAAAGCTGTCGAAAAAGGAAAGTTTCTAAAATGTTACCTGTGCTAAAGGTGCTTAAAAAATGAAACTCTTTTGTACAGAGATTCGATCGTTTGTGACATCGTTTTGATACAATTTATGACAACGGGAAAAAAAATAACCATTAGTTAAAAAAAAAAAAGATTTAATTTGATTAAAAATGATGCTAGTCTTAAAAAAACAAAAATTAATTAAAAATTCAGAAAAAACAACATATCAAAGACTAAATAACGTCCTCAAATTTCTTTATAAAATTATGTTTTTGATACAATATTTAAAGGACCGGAGGAGACAAGCCCAAAATGGCTACCGGTTGGGGGCTGAAGGTGATAGCGATTCTTTATTTATAGATTGATATTAGATGTATCACTTTTTTGGTTTGCTACAGTTTGATAGAATACATCAACTGAGATGTTTTATTTTATGTCTTGGGTTTTTTATGTGTGTTTTTTTTTTTCGTTTCAGTACCAAAAATTACAACGCAAACGTTATTTAAGATAAAATAATATGGTACGATAAGTTTTTTTTTTTTTTATTGATCCACATAAACGAACGTGCTTTTTATTATATTGTACGTATTCTTTTAGAGGACATAAAATAACCACACATTTTAAACACTACGCAATTGTACAATACTCACAATTAAAAGACGAGGCAACTTAAGTGTTGCTCTAGAGTTGAAATCA